AAGTACGCTGAATCCATGTGGACACTCCCTTTCCCAAACTGACCAATAGCTGGTGTCAACCACCTTTTCCTATGTCCTCCTTCATACCGTCTCCACCTTAGGGTCATCTGCCCTTTCTTCATCTCTTTTTTTTCCTCCTTGTTTTCCATGTAGGTTATCCCCCCAATTGCAACTTCCACCCCCAAAATAGCCCCAGAACAAAGTAGGGCACTAACTAACCCTCTGGCACACAACTTTCTGTATCTTGGGAATCCTCCTTGCGCTGGAGCAGGAGGAGACGTGAATAGGGAAGAAGCTGATTAAGACACCTCCCTTCTGCAGCAGCATAACAGGGCAGAAAAGGGCCAATGGTGTCTCCTGCTGCTTGTGGAGGTGCTGGTAATTTAAAGTAGGGATGAATTAAAACAACCCCATCCAACACTGCTAGATGACACCATTTTTTGCACTTCTTTTTCATAAAGAACGCCTTGGCTTTTAGGCTTGTCTCTGAAGATAAAAGATCAGAACACTTGTTTTTTCTCCTAGGTCAAAAATTCTAATAAAGTAAGTTGCAGGGGAAGAAGATTAAGGTTGGGGTGATTTAAAGGAGCTGTTCTAAAAGCTGCCTCCTCTTGCTTGATCCACCCTTGTTTTTGACATTTCCTCATTCTCCCCCCCTTTTTGTTGACAGGTTCTTAGAGGATGGGTGGTGGCTTTTTCTGAGAGCAGCATCAGATGTGGTTACATGAAAAACACGTATGCGAGAGCTTTGCAGTGACTGCAAAATTGATTTGGTGGGGGTTTTTTTTTTTTGGTGTAGAGTGAGTTTTAATTAGCCAACAGGTGAAAAAAAAATTACCGTGTTTTGGAACAGCTCAACAAGAACGAGATAAAAGTACTTCTTGTGGGTACAGGGGGCAAAATTAAAACTGAAATGCTACAAAATAAAGCAGGGAGGAAGCCACTTTGCTAGGCTGGATAGTTGAGATCATCAGTAAACAGCACAGACATGGGCATGCAAACTGGCAGGGCAAAATTCTGCTGCTCCAAATGCAAAGATGGGGCAGGGAGAAGGCGGGGGGGAGGGAGGGGGGCACGCATCCATGCGAGGTGGGATGTTTTTGTCCGTGTTAACTTATCCTGCCTCGAGGAAAAGAGCGCCGCGCTCCCCTGGGGGACAAGTTTCTGGAGGAACATCTCATGCTGTGGGCGATGTAGGTGAGGCTGCCGTCAAGGGACGATGTGGCAAACGGGAACGAATCAAAGCGACTCCTCTTTGTGTATCCGCAATGGAGGCTGAGTCATTACCATTCATCACCAGCCCGGCTGGTGTGTTCATTCTGGTGACAGTTGTTTTCGGGAGAGAGGACAGCTTTTGATGCCTTTTGATTCCCGAAAATAAAAGAAAAAAAGGGCTGTGAAGGTAACAGGCATCCGGAGAAGCTGACTGAAAACAGTGGGTAAGGAAATAACTTTAAGTCCCAGGGAAATGCAGCACAAAAGGGCGCTGCCATGATAACCAGGACAGCATGGCTTGCTCCTTCATGGCTCTGAAGGAAGCGGTAAATGCTTAAAACTTCCCATGCTCCGTTTACAAATGAGCCCCCATTGCAGAGCAACACAGGAAAGTTAGCATTGCTGTTGCAGAGCATTTTCTCTGGGTTTCTTCCTGCTAGGCTGGCTGTGTATCTTGAGTCCTTCGCCTCTGTATGTGTAGCATTGCTAATCTTACAAGGTATTCGAATTAAGCCCCGAAAAACCTCCT